TATCCCACCTACGCTGAAAACCAATCGGAGGCACTTTCAATCCCTTGAATAAAATTGCTACCTACACGCATTTAGAGGAGAACGAGGCCCAGAAAAGGCGTGCATAAAACGATCGGTTTCGGCCCCCATGGAATAAGCCAGGAGGTAAAATCATATTGATTGGAGAACATTTTCGAGGACATGATATCTATCAGATATTATTTTGCAAAGGTATTGTGAACATAACGTCCGCGTATCGCAGCTCTGAATCTGCTGGTGTCAGTCCCATGCAGCAGCCACCGGACCACTGCCCCACCGCCTGCCGTTCGCTGATCATACAGGCCGGCTGTCCCAGTGTCTCATCAAACGATCACAGCTGACTCATTATTTATAAAATGCCAAACAAAAACAGACACCCAATATTATAGATCACGCCAGCTCTTTCAGTCATGCGCGTGGAGATATATCGGTAGTTTTCCTATCACAGATCACACTGAACAGAGGAAAAGCGTACACACGCAGCAATAAATAATGCATTATCAAGTACACCGATCGATGCATCGTGGAATACACCGAAAAAATACATCACTGCTTTAACGTTCCCCAGGTGGGTGGGCCGTGGGGGCGTTTTTGGCCACACCTGACAATTTTGTGCTTGCATAGATAAAACGACACGAAACTTAGTATATAGCTTATGTATAATGCATCGATTCGCATCAATTGTGAAAAAAGTAACCCCATGTCACCTAAGGTCAGGTCAGGTCACCATGAAGTAGAAGTTTGAAACTCGATCTATTGCATGAGAGAATCAGTACAAACATCTTGAATATCTTTAATTTTGATATCGGTGGTGACCTAGGGTCAGGTCAACTTTGCGACGTCTCCAGTTTCAGTCAGTATGAGGAACTCGAAATGTTCTGCTTTTGAAACAAAAGCACTCAAACATCGGGATCTATCGTATGCTCCTGAGGTCATCTCAGGTCATGTAACGCCTCCAAACAGTTTATTTTTGTACATCGATTTTAGATGGAACGTGGCCAGAGCGCTAAAAGCATCATAATCATAGGCGGCGGAACAGGCCGAGGGCACCGGGGGACCGTGCCCCCTTTGATTTTGGCATTTTAACATTAGCCCTATGGGCGTTGCATGGAAAGAATGAGACCAAAAGTCGGCAATGCCCCCTTAAAGGTAGTGTGCCAGCTTTCTTGGACCGTATGGAGTTAATGGCCCAGATAAGGAGAACCGGATTTTTAGAACTTATCCATACCTTCAAAACTCATGGAAACGTCTTAAATTCTTCAAATTTTGAGTACCCCAGTGCGAAATTCGCCCCGACGGGTTGTCGGTCGTACCCCAACCACATTTCACACCACTATGAACAATAAATGCACACACTGAAATCGCTATTACCGATATGCTCATCCAATCAAGTTTCGATAAACCCGTTCATCATCATCTCCTGCGGTTTCGAACACGCCTGTTAGGTGGCTTCTGATGCTCGTCGAGGTCGGAATTTCCAAATACGCGTGGTGCGTCGGGCCGCGCGCTCTGACTTCGGCCAAGAAAAATGCGTCAGCTGATCATTGTCATTTCTGCCACTTGCGTGTGGTGAAATGGGGTCATAACTTATAAGACGGCTTTTTCATATCAATTATTTTACATAAAATCATATTTCAAACCATAAATAATGTTCGACAGCCAAATAAAAGAAACAATACCAATAAGGGCTTACAGTTTAAGGCTCGACATTGTGTTGTCTACGATTAGACAGCTGATAACTCATTCCCGTACGTCGTATGGTCGTAACACTATAGCATATTTACGTCTGGACAACGAGTTGCGTTGGAGAGGCCGGAAATAGTGGCGATTTCAGGACCGCAAGAATGGACCGTCATTGGAATGATTCTTTTTTAAACCGTGCACTGTTCTCGGCCGGAATTTAAGAGTTACTACAAAATATTTTTAATAACGTTTTCACCAAGAATGAATGCCATCAGGGCTAAATTTTTAATACTATTGCATTTTGTCAAGAAGCATATAGTGCTGTTATATTGCAGTTTTAGCGCGTTTGTTACAAAATATGAAGCGAATAAGCGTCAGTGTAATTGCCTTGGTGTAATTGTTGGACGCTTGAGCCAAGCTGCTGCGCGCCCTAACTCTTCAACAACAACAACAACAGCCTTGGTGTAATTCATCAACAGTGCAAGAAGTAAACTTGAGGGAAAGCTATGGTAATTGCTCTTGTCCATCCACTAAAATTTATTAAATATTTTGCTTTGTGTATTCCAAAAGTAGAGGGAACTATTTCGTTTGTGCCTTCATGTCAGAATTGAAGGTGGATCATTAAATTTTCAACGCAGCTTACAAACAAGCATTTGGTCTTGGTCTTTCTCGTTTATAAGCAGTGGCTAAGAAAAGGTTGATTTGATCAATCCTGAAGTTCAGTCATCGTACCTCAGCTTGGCAGCAAGATCCCCCAAGGACAGAGGATATATTGTATACATGTCCTGTAAATCAAAACAAACAAGCATTTGGTCTTTCTCGTATATAAGCAGTGGCTAAGAAAAGGTTGATCAATCCTGAAGTTCAGTCATCATACCTCAACTTGGCAGCAAGATCCCCCAAGGACAGAGGATATATTGTAAACCTGTCCTGTTAATCAAAACATTTTTGTGCCTTCAAAGGCTTAAGTTATCTGTGGTGTGTTCGGAGTTAGGCTATATGGCCGTTTTTGTTGTATGTTTATGTGGAGATTGAATATAACTGTGACCCTGTGCTTGTTTGTATACTTACGGTCAAACAGGGAACAGCACATTCACATAACATACTCACCTAGCACCTAACTCAGCTGTACCCTGCAGGATCTGTACTTGTTCATGTCTCGAGCATTAACAAAGCACTAAAGTAGCTAAGTAATCATTTCCCACATTTTCTGAGCATCTAACATGACATACAGCAGTGCAGAGCAGCTTCAGAGAAGAAACGCTTTAAATGCACAGACTCACACCAGCCACCCAATGAGCCAGTTCCTCAGTTGACTGTTTCCCTGGACACAGCTTGGCAATGTGAGCTAACTTTTGGCAAGTTGAAGTTGAAGGTTAGCAGGTAAGATTGAGTTAGGGTGAGTGCCTACCTATAACTGGGTGCTACTGCCATGCAGGTCTTGGGTAGGCTGCAAATATGTGTGATGATTGAGGCTAGGTCAGCTCTCAGGTTAGTCAGGTTCAGGTATGCTCATTGCTAACTCGACTAAACATACACAACTACTGACTATAGGAACTGAGCACCTACCTACTTGTGCCTACATCTCATACCATGTCAAAGTAGAGTTCCTTGGTGGAAGATTACCCTCAGTACTTTTTATCCCAGCCCTGTGAAGAAAACGAATACTTCTAAGCTCTGAGTCACTGCTGGCCATCCACAGGAAGAAACGCTGAGACTGAGAGCTTTGCCATTGTATATTGGACCAATAATGACTATCACGAATGACTATGAACACATAATATGATCACATCGTTGCATGGATTGTCACATTTACAATTTTACTACAATCCTTTTTCAAGAAATACAGTGATGATGATTAACATCAAAATCAACATAAAGTGGATTTAGTGATCCAAGCTTTCTCCTCCAGTAGCAATGGAATGATCGCATGTTTCATTTGCCAGACACTGAGTACCTGATGCACATTACAATCTGCATAGCATCTAAGCATAGTAAAACTGCCCAAGTCCATTCATTCTAGATTTTAACTTGATAGTTAGCACTAATTTATCTTGCTGTTGTAAGTTATCATTCAATATTCATACCAATACATCAATATGCGCTCATCAGTCAACATTTTCTGGCATGATCCTGCTCAGCGTGCTCTTCAGTACCTATTGCTCCAAGGTCTGCAATATTATAGCTTGTTTTTGGACAATAAGCTCTTTTAATTTTACTTTTTCTTGCTGATATATGAGCCCGCTCAACTTGCGTTTATTAACCAAAATTTCATAACTTATTCAACTTGATATTGATATTGCTCAGTAGTCAGGACCTCTGTCAGCCTCCTGGATACTTCAGATTGTTTTCAGTCAACATGCTTCTTAAATGTGATATAAGTCAATCTTAAGGGATTCAAAACATCCAACAAAACGACGTACAAGAGAAAGAAAACCACCAGATAAACTAAAAAATGGCCTTGGAACAGAGCCAAGTGGTGCTCCATTTGTTTGTTTACAATGATTGTAGTGCTGATGTATTTTTAGGACTCTGAACGTCGGCTTATAAAAAATGAAACGTTTTTACAAAAGTTGTATAGCAAGTAATATTTATCTGAAAGAACTAAAATATTCAAAAGCCAAACACTATGAAATACATGAATCGGAACGAAAAAGTAACCCAAAAATCCAGCCTAATCACCGACTCCTAAAACTGCAACACAATCAGCACTTTTCCCCGCAACTCGTTGTCCAGACGTAAATATGCAACACTATAATGACCTTTGCTTATTGTCACAAGTGCGCCGCATTCGCGATTGTTGCCCGACGCCTGTTTGCAGGTGAGCCCACTACAGTTGTTATACATATCTAAAAACCGAAAAACTTTTAGGCGAAAAAGGCACTATTCCAGGCCCATTTTTGATTTTTTTTTTGCGATATTAGGTAAAAACAGAAGCTTCTTATCCTAGGAAAAATAAAATGGGAAATCTTTCAAAGGTGGCACACTACCTTTAATTGAAGGTGTTCCGCCGCTACTGATGTTAATCTCAATTTCAATGTAACGAATCAATGACATGCAAAATGGCATTTTCTGCGACATTGACCTGAGGTCAAATTTATTAAGCTGACCTTGTTAGGCCAAGAAGACGAGAGAAACGCAGTGCCGGTAAAATCAACGTAATAAAAGGTTGGAATCAGTTAAAAAAAAAATTAAAGAAAAGACGACTTCCGAAGCAAGCCGATTGTTCAGTTTTTTGCCCTTTGGAGGCTTAACCCTAGTTGACCTTAGCTCAAATCTGAGAACCTGAAAGATTTTCGAAAGAGCTATCGAATTCGCTTTTCCGCGGCGCTGTAGCTTCTTTGGTTCCCGAATTATGAACCAATTTGTGAAGTTGTCAAAATCGGGGGCCAAAATTCGTCATCATTTTACTTTTGGTGACCTCCAGTGACCTCAGCGATGACCTGATCAAAAATGACCTGCATGTTTCTGAAGAAAAATAGCGATCTATAGATTGATTTTACTGCGTCTTTCCAGCTTTGCTACATTCCAAGATAACCTGGTGTGGCCGAATACACCTCCCCCCCCCCCCCCACACCGAGTTGGCTGAGGGCCACCCGGGCGCGGGTTAATAACATGGCGCAACAGGTTTTGTTATGAACTTGTCCTTTTCACACATAGGCGACACTAGATATCACAGCCAACGCCTATCACCAAACTGGTGGTGGGCTTTGGCCAGCGATCGCCGATCGGGGCCAACGCGGGCTCTTACTCGTCCACAATCAGCAAGAATGATGAACTACAGCTGCTCCAGACCGGCCACTTCAATCCAGCGTGTAATCTTCAGTCCACATCAGAATCACTAGTGAAACTCTACTGAGTGGGCCAACTGCACTGCATCTTTGACCTCCTTTGCAGCTTTGGCTTTTCAGAATTTGAACAGCCTTCTCTTTCCCACCCTTCTGTGCTGATGAATGATGATCCTTTGGAAACCTGGAAAAGGACAGTACAGACTCAGGGAGATGAAACTGTTTTGCTATGGGTCTGTTCCAGACGCACTTCCTAACACATCTAAACTCCTCAAAGAGCAAGATAGAGGAGGTTGGAGCAGGGCCCTTCTTGGCTACGTTCGTATAATTGCATGCAGATTGATATCAATCTCGTACATGCAGATTCCGGACAATTTCAAATCGGCTCAAAATGGGCATATAGACCAAACAGGATACGCTGATCACGAATCCGAAGTCCGTTCCGCGGCACATATGAAACTTTTCCCGGAATTTCCGAATTCCAAATCTGCATGCAGATTCCGGACAATTTCAAATCGGCTCAAAATGGGCATATAGACTAAACAGGATACGCTGATCACGAATCCGAAGTCCGTTCCGCGGCACATATGAAACTTTTCCCGGAATTTCCGAATTCCGAATCTGCATGCAGATTCCGGACAATTTCAAATCGGCTCAAAATGGGCATATAGACCAAACAGGATACGCTGATCACGAATCCGAAGTCCGTTCCGCGGCACATATGAAACTTTTCCCGGAATTTCCGAATCCCGAATCTGCATGCAGATTCCGGACAATTTCAAATCGGCTCAAAATGGGCATATAGACCAAACAGGATACGCTGATCACGAATCCGAAGTCCGTTCCGCGGCACATATGAAACTTTTCCCGGAATTTCCGAATTCTGAATCTGCATGCAGATTCCGGACAATTTCAAATCGGCTCAAAATGGGCATATAGACCAAACAGGATACGCTGATCACGAATCCGAAGTCCGTTCCGCGGCACATATGAAACTTTTCCCGGAATTTCCGAATTCTGAATCTGCATGCGGATTCCGGACAATTTCAAATCGGCTCAAAATGGGCATATAGACCAAACAGGATACGCTGATCACGAATCCGAAGTCCGTTCCGCGGCACATATGAAACTTTTCCCGGAATTTCCGAATTCCGAATCTGCATGCAGATTCCGGACAATTTCAAATCGGCTCAAAATGGGCATATAGACCAAACAGGATACGCTGATCACGAATCCGAAGTCCGTTCCGCGGCACATATGAAACTTTTCCCGGAATTTCCGAATTCCGAATCTGTTTCTTGGCTTTGTAGGGGCGAAAGCTGCTACTGGAACAGGGAAGCAATCTTGGAGGAGTTAAGAGGTGTTAGGAAGTGCGACTGGAACAGACCTTATGACAACGTCTGTGCATAGAGCAAGCAGATGGTAGAAGTGGTCAATTGGTGAGTGGAACAAATGCAAATGTCAGGAAAGCAGTCATATTTTGTGATAGACATGATGCAGATGTTGGCCAAGCTGACAAGGCAGATATAATTACCAGCTTGTTATACTAGTCTATAACTCATCATATTTTCATGTTTAACAGAGGGAATATAATGTAAAAAAGCCTTAGCCAGATGAAAGTAGATACTATAAGTTCTATAGAAAAAATGTTTATGTAAGTAATGTAGGATTTGTGGTTTTTAGAGGCTAGGTAAATGTGTTCCCTGTTCAACAATTCTTCAGCATTCAGACATTGATGTCAATGTAAATGTACATGCATCAGCATACCTGTTGTGAAGTGATTCTGGGCTGCTTTCCTGAGCAGTTGATGGCCACCACTGGAATCTTAAAAACACAGCTAATTTCTTTCCATTTTGTTAACTATGACTGAGGATCTTCTGTGCTGAAAGAGAGATAGACAATAGACATCAGCCGATAGACATTGTACAATGTACAACTCATTTGTGAAACAAGATCAATTCCATTTAGGGGTAGGTCGTAGGATAATGGTGACATGAATGAATTTCAGTTTTCACTTTTCACCAGTCCAGGTACCTGGTGACAAAATGAAATATTGTAGGAGGTATCAATGATAATGTTTCTGGTAGAAAATGCAGGCATTTTAGAATTCAGTTGAAGCTTTAGATGGAGGATTTTTGGAAAATATTTGCCACAAATAACATTGGAATCTCAGAAACAAAAATCAATTCTTACTTTATGTCAAAAACAAATCAAACTATTACCATTGAGCACCAAGCAGCATGCTGAGTAGTCATTCACTAAGACATATGCATGTTACACATGGCTACAGTACTTTGAAATAGCTTTTATAAAATGTATGCACTCATGTAATCTTAACATGTAAAATGTCAGCTAAAACTTGTTTTACACTAAACCTGCTAAGCCAAGAAAAAAAGATAAATATGAGAAGCCCAAAACAAGTTATTGAAAATATAAACACAGGTAACGTTACAACAAAGCTGAGTCAAAACACTCAAAACTAAGTGTTTCAATGAACGCAAGATTAATGCGTGTCACCACAGAAGCAGCTGTCCACTGTAAAGCAGAGTGGGCACAGCATGGTGAAAGCAGGAAGTGGTGCACAAAACTGAATTAAGAAGAGTGCCCGATTAACTGTATCTACATCCCTTTACATGTAGGTACCTACTTATAAAATTTGAGCACAATCAGCCAAAACTAAACTGTGAAGGAGGTCATGCCCACTCGCACATGAGAGGTGTGCAAAAACATGCCTGTAATACCTTATGCCTAGATACATAAAGATGAAAATGTGTTGTGTCTGTGTGCCTGGTTAGTGGCATGACGTGACATGACTATTATCAATACCTGACAGTATAATTATCATGATATTATCATTATTGCAATTGTAATAAAAAATGATCAATTGAACTTTTCTTCCCACTTTATATAGCCAAAATACCTGAGATTTTTTAATATCAAGTTTGCGTACTCCAAAATCGTAACTTCTGCTTCCTCCAGTACTTTATAAGTTTGCGCAAGACTATTATCCATTAGATGTAGGGACGATCATGACCACTTGACTAAAAAATGGTTCACTTGGTTCTTACAAACCTGTTAACTCACTACACAAGGGGAGGGGGCACTGCAAAAGGGTGTAGAAATCGCCACATTTGTCTCATGATGTTTGATGCATAATAATCGGTATCAAAATATCGTCGTATTAGTATGCAAGGTCACCAAAGAATGAGCCAACGTTATTTTTCAAATAACAAAGCAAATTGGCAATATCTAGCACAACGAAACACATAATTCAACACCTAACGACGATGCCGGCCGAGTCCCCCATACCACCATGGCGACCGCTCAAGATATATGGCCTTGGCTCAAGTCCAACTGGCCGGCAACTGGCCAATCAGGGAGCTTGTTTGTCATTTCTGGGTGGGATTAAAAAACATGCCCACAACAAAGTTCAGACCAAGTTTTAAGCGATTTTTCAACGAACAAACCCATTTAAATCAGAATGACTAAACGAGGTGACGTCACACTAACGGTCGCTCCATGTTGAAGATAGGGCCTTGCGCAAGGCCCATTTTCAAATGAAGGGAACGAATTTCTTCAACACCAAGAGGCCGCGGGGGTTGCAACCTAGATAGATAGTGGTTTCTGAACCTCGCCGCAAACTTGGCTATCTCAACTCAAACCCCATGTTAAAGGTGGGATAGTCCCTTTAATCAAAGGTCAAGAAAGGCAAATTGGTTGCGTTCATTTTAAATGAGTTTGCAGTGAAACATGTCTGCACTGAGGCCATTGAAGATTCCAAACGCCATTTGAACTGGATGAGACTCGCTATCGGTCGGCGAGCGGTAGGTCAGTTGCGACTATAGACTGAAGAGAACAGGTCCCAGGATTGATCCTTGTGGGACGCCGAATTTCACGGGAAGAACCTCAGAATCTGACCTCGAACCATTTGACCACGACCGCTCAGATAACTTTTGAACCAGTGTGATGGGACGCCATGCCACGCTAGTTTCATTAAAATATATTAAAAGCATTTCATGATTGACGCTGTCGAACGCTTTGCTCAGGTCTATTGCTATTATTGAAGCAATGTGGCCCTCATCGCTTTGATCAGTAGTCCAGGCAATGGTCTCGAGGATAGCGTCTTCCGTTGAATGGCCCTTGCGGTAAGCATACTGGCTGTTACCTAGTAAATCATTTTCTTTGAGATAGTGGGATAATTGGGTGCACACGACACGTTCAGCGATTTTTGACATGACTGGCAGAAGTGAAATTGGACGACAGTTGCTAGCGCGACTGTGATGCACGCTGGTTGCACCGACCTGGTGATCGGCGAAGGGTGCCAAGCCCCTGGCCGTCCATACAGCCCCGCCAGTGGATCGTAACACGGCCGCTGACCTGCCGATGACCCGCGTCCTGGGGGTGGAAGCGGGTGCCGACCACGCGATACACGATTTGTCTCCCATGGCTCGCCGTATCGAAGGTCAATTCTCGTTGGCATTGATGACACTTGTTCAGTAAGCTTCGTCCGGATGGAGTTGCAGCTCTCGCCGGGCGAACTCGAGCCGTTCTGCCCTGTTGCGGACGGTCAGCAGGCAGCAGGCTGGTCAGCGGCCGGGGAGTCCATCCCGGCGCACTTGTTTTAACTCGGGCCCATAACTGGCCAGGGCTCGTAACTTAGAAACTATACGAGATATAGACGTGTTTTTGGGCTCAAACGAAACGTTTGAAATTAAAAATCATTGTAAGTGCAAAATATGTCGTACCAGGGCACTGACCTTGTCATGATGTTTCCACTTTTCAAATTGCTATTCAAGCCTGTGCAATTGCAAAGAAAGTATTTTTCAATTGTGAAAAAGAATACTTGCCGCAACAGTGCACTCAAATTTCATTTTTTTTTTCATTTTTGGGAACGGGTCCATCTGGTTCCAACTCTGACTTCGACCGGGTGTGACCGGCTCCAACGATGACTCAGTCGGACCGGGTCTTGGTCCGGTTCCCAGAATTTTCCAGTTTTGCCACCTCTCAACCAGATATCTATGTGATAGTTGATGACGTCGCAAGTGTCACGATTTTCAAAAATGAAAAATATCCTTATGTCCTCGCTATGATTCAAGAGCATTCGTTTGTAGATTTGGAGTAATCGTAGACCCGAGCAAGGTTAACCGACGAGGCAAGTTAAGGCTGTGGACATGACCTTGTTTATTAACGTTGATGACCTTAGGGGACATTGAACGCCCTTTCGTGGCTAGAGGCTTGTTTCAAAGGCTTTTTAAACGCAATATAAATTGGTAAAAGTTTCGGGCTGCCTTCTACCATTTCTTTCATCAAATTCACGCAATTTAAAGTTAAAAAAATAAGACTCTGGACTTCCCAATGCGGGAACAGCGTCATCACCAATTTGACATACAAAACATGACGTATGGTGTATTATGTGATATGCAATATGCATTGGCATGTAAAATCATTCCCCTGCATACTAATTGACGCCTCCTGCTGCTGCCGATGTCCGTTTGGTGACCACCGGTGCGGTTTTTTTTTTTTGCGCAGCGGTTTATCCACCTCACAAGTGATTTGCGCCACCTTTGGGTCACTGATCATCAGCAGACAGCGGAACAGGCTCACCATGGTGTTTTGGCGTGCCGTTTTTTGCCCTTTTATGGTCGTGCCGCAGTATTCGCGGTTGTGCTTATTTCGACTCTCTTGCACCTCTTCACTATACATGCCGATCGGGGGCAGGAGTGACCGGATGGCAGCCGTCACGGCGGGCAGGACTGCGCTCTTCCGACTTTGATGGATCGGCTGGGAGACGCTCCCACTTGACGAAGCATATAGGTTGCGTCATTGCTTCCTGACGCACGGACACTTTATCTGGCAGACTCGATCAGCTTTCCAGAACTATATAGAACACTTTACTGAGAGAATAAATCCTGACAGAAAACTTCCATGGTGACCCTGCCGAACTCACAGGTAATGCACGATCAAAAGCCGACCATCGTGATCAGCTGTGCGTGCTGTGGCAGGCCTCATAAGTCATAGCCACCTTTCAGCTCACAATCTCATCACAAACTGGACACATAATGATTATTTAATTGCGGTTATCAGGTACCTACTGAACTATGCTAATAAATTATCAAGGAAGCACGTGTAGCGAACATACAGCTCCAGAGCCAATCTACGATTTTGCTGCAACAGCCACGGTGCAATGAAGGTGTCTGTTATAGACCGACATGCGCTACCTATAATACGCATAATTAATATTCAAGAAACATATATTTCATAGTTCAATGATAGCAGTTTCTGAGTTACCAACTGTCACTCACCAAAGTCGTTCGCTCTCCGGCTGCAGGTGCCCTTTCTCCTCTTCTCCCTTCACATAGCAATGCAACTGGCATATGTCCTCTGCCCAAGCCTTGTTGGGACGTGCCGTCAGCTGATTACGCCCCAGGGTGCGGCAGGTCGCGCGCAGGTCGGCGACCATGGGCCACCAACTCGTCGCAACGGACGAGGGTATGAACGAGGAATATAGTCTCTCTTGAAAGTATCGCGTCATCGGCTGCGGCGGCGGCGGCTCCGCGAACGTGTTATTCCATGCAGTTTGAGAACCCCAGCAGTGAGGTCATGGCCTTTATCATAAAAAGTACGCTGTAACACGATTTTATGCCAGCGGTAGAAGGAAAACTGCTATATCCCTCGCCCCGCTGGGGGTTGCCCCCCCCCCCCCTGTGGTTTTTCCTGAATAGCAAGAAAACGCCGCCAAATTTTCAATACCTTCCCGGGCATCAATTTGAGACCTTCACACAAAATTTCAAGTCTTGGGTCACCTTAGGTCAGGAGTTATTGATGTCAAACTGAGGTCATGTTCGAGCAAAAATGAGCAAAAAAAAAAAAATGAAATCTTGAAACGCTCACAAAAGCTACAGTTACCAAGCAATTGCAATGTTCTTTATCTGGTCATGTCACAGGGGAGCACTGCCGCTTCAACCCTATTGGCCGTAGTGTCTAACGGTGGCGGCCATATTGCGCAGACCAGGAACCGGCTGCCGCCTGTGTTGAGGAATAGGGAATTCGGGACCTCGATTTACGTTTGCGGCCGCCGCATCCGTTACGTTCAAGTTACGTAGATACGGAACCCGGCATCTTACGCAGAATTGAGTGGGGAACACGATCGTATCTTCTGAATTCCTCAAATTCACTCGCCGGACCTACATTTGCCCCGGCCGAGGGGGTTGATTGAACCCACCTCGCTAGTGCGCCGCTAATTAAACTAGAATTAAGCGGTAAAGTGGTCGTTTGCGACAAATTATAATGCAGAGTGACTGGTAGGAACCCACTGTAAAGGTCCCGGGTCAACCGGTGACCTCTGAGGTCAGGTCAAGTGATCTAAGGGACGGGTTCGGTTTTTGGTAAATAACTTCGCCAAAAATGGCCGTAGAGCCGCGATTTTGGCATCATCGTGTTAAGCTAGCTCAGGCGCATCGAGTGATATACTTTTTGTTCGGGTCAGGTCAACTTAGGGTGTTGACCTCAGGTCAAGGTCTGGTCAGCACCCCCAGGTCACGAAGTTGGTCGAAAGAGGTCATGTCGCATATCATTCGATTCGGCAGGTCTTCCTGAGTCAATTGGTGGCTTTCCCGACTCGCTAGCTCAATTTGATCGGGAGTTATTGAAGAAAAACTGTGACCCCTGTGACGTCACAAATGACGTCACGCAAGGGCAACAATGCAAATATGAAGCATAGAACCTTGCAAGGAGTGCATGAAATCATGATTCTATATGCTTGAGATAGTTTCAGATCATTCTCGGCGCCAAAATAGCAATTTTCATATTTCCCCATTGACTTATAAGGGTTTAACGTATTAGTTCCTTGTATCTGAGAATTTTTTTATGATTTTATCTTATTCTCCACTCAATTCTGCGTAAGATGCCGGGTTCCGTGTCCACATAGCTTGAACGTAACGGATGTAGCGACCGCAAACGTAAATCGAGGTCCCGAATTCCCTATTCCCCAACACAGGCGGCGGCCGCTTCCTGGTCTGCGCAACATGGCGGCACCGTTGGACACCATCTGGCGGCCGATGCGCCTTCCACATTATAGAGTTCAGTGGGTCATGTAGACAAAAGACAGCGCCACAAAACTGCTATCTCGAATTTTCAGAACTATGGGATTTTGACCCCTAAAAATTCAATAAATTGATTTTTTTAGAAAAACGCAAAAAAAAATCCAAAAGTTTTTCCGAGTTTCGAAAACAGCGTAATATACGTGATAGTCCCTGCGCTCTTCTATATACATACCAAATTTTAGATCGATAACTCCATTTTTGGCCAAGTTGTAGCGAAAAAACTGTTCAAAATTAATGACGTACTATTTGTAACTCAATTTTTAGCAATTCTAGACCACGTAGCGCAAAACAAAAACCACCACTGAACTCCCCGTGACGAGCTGCATCGAATCAATACCCATTTTATGCAAAAATATCAACTTTGAAATCTGACTTAATTTTACCTGATCTTGACCTGACCTTGACCTGACTTTCACCGGAACATAATCTAAACTGACCCAAAAGGCTGCCTGACCCACATAATCGTATTTGGCATATAAAATGGACCATAAAACATGCATCACATGATATGTTCATGTTGTGACCCTCAGTGACATGACCTCTGTGACCTGACCTAGTATCAGTGACCTCAAATACACTGAAAATAAATTCACACCCGCTGCTGGTGTTTACACCTTCTTAGGAAATGTTTACATTACACCCCACCGTTTTTGAGCACCTGCACCGGTGTAGTTTCAACACCAAGCGTTGGTGTAAGTTTACATTGAATCCTGGTGTAACACCAGGCACATACACTGGCGTATGGCGTTAAATCACTGTAAGTACACCAGTTTGTGGTGCTACACGACGTCTTTACATCATAAACAGGTGCTACACCATTAATTT